AGAAAATGTTTTGAGAAACGATGTACAAATGCGCTTTACACAATTGATGTGTGTATGGATTGGGATAACAGTTGTATGAGCTCCTAATAAAATGTTAAAAAAGAAAAAACAAAAAAAACAAAAGGTGTGTGTGGGGTGTGTGTGTGTGTGGGCATTGACTTCTATGGTCAAAAGGAACAATTTAGTGAAATACCATTTACTTGGCCAGGAATGATCAGTTCCATGAATGGCACCCGGTTGTATATTGCATCACGTTTGCATTTCTCTAAATCTCCATTGTTATAGATCAAATCCAATATTTCACAGGTCCAGGTTGTTCCTGAAACAAACAAAATCATCAGAGAAGCAAAAGACAATTTTCTATAAACTTTTTAACAAAAATAGTACAACTGTGAAACTAGGAATAGAGCTCTGTAACAACTGTAGCCAAAATTGATCTTCATTCTCCTTCCTTTTTTCTAATCATTTTTCCTACAAGTATATATTTTGAAATCTTAAAACTCATACCTAAATATTGTGTGCATAAAAATTCTGATTTAAATAATCCTAAAAATAGGACACAAAATGGAAATAAAGATACAAGATATAAATAATAACAGTAGCCTCTTGGGTGGAATGAATGAGGAAGAGCAGGTTAATCATTAATTCGTTGACTTCATTGAGTATAATCATTGATTTGCCATTTTCTCTTAGACGGAAAAGCATGGAAGTTATAATACTTAACAACTGGTGTAAAGAAGAAAAAGGGAAACAAAAAGGAAGCCTGTGATTCCACTCATGATAAGCTGTGTGTAATTAATACAGAGTGATCAGAGAGAGGTGAGTGAAACAGCACTATTTTTTTACTGCCTGATGTGGTTTAGAGTTAAGCCGTGGAAACAGATCAAATTCCAATGTGGAGTACAGCGCATCTTATCGCCTGTCAGCGAATAGTTCCAAGTATGACTCATTCCAAGTGTGACTTGCTGAAGGCAAGGGCCCGTTTTCTCATTTTGTGTATTTCATATTGGAAAATGATGCTGTTTTCTCCCCCACCTCTCACCTCTGTGATGCATAAGTTTACAAAAATAGCACATGCCTTGACTCATATAAGAAGATAGCAAAACTTTTATAGCAAAATTAACAAGGCACTGATATATTTGAGAATTTAAGACACACTCTTAACTGTCGATCTGTGAGTAGCCACCTAGCTTTCACCATGCCTTAAAACTGTCTGCCTTGAAATGTTGAGCGTCTTTTCTATAATGATACCTTCTAGCAGTCTTCTTAATGGTTCTTCTTTTGAATAGATCCACAAATAGCAAAAGGAATAAGATGCAAGTTGTCAAGGATCTACCTCCCAGTGGCAAACTTACATCTGTAGCTCATCAAGGAAATGGAACATGGTTTTTGCTACTAAATGATTTGGCTTTGGTGAATAACTCACAAAGCAGCATAAAGTAGTAAGAAAAGAAAAATACTTTGACAAAACGTGTGTGTGTGTGTGTGTGTGCATGTGCACGTGTGTTTGCCTACACAAGTCTGTGATGTGCATCGATGTATTTTCTACGAGGTGCCCTATGCTCTCCCCCTGTTTGTGTGGTGTGCATACAGTATAGTCTCCCAAATTCAAGGCTTTAATTTCTAGACATATTATCTCCCTCTGAAATAATTTTGTTATTTACCATCTAAAGAGAAAATAAGTAATCAATGTACTCATTCAAAAAAAGCTGAACCAGTTTCAAAAAATCCTCTCCTTTGCAGAAACCCATTAAAGAATGGGGGTAGGACTGTAAAGAAAAGTTAATGTCAGAGAGTTTAGTAACCAGGTTGGTTGTGAGCTCAAGTAAGTTAATGATATTTGAAGAGTGAGAAAGACTGACTTGTGTCTCACATATTTCTTTTACGCTTTGTCATAAATATATCTGTCACATATCAAAATCAAAATCATGTGTTCTTATTGAATTATCATAAATTCTTCATCCAAAGTTCTTGTTTCAGATCAGCAGTTCTTTAAATTTATAAACAAAATATCTAAGCATAAAAGTGGAGAGGACGAATGTAGTTTCCATGATTTTTTGATGGAACTCAAATTATTTTAAAAGACCACAACAGTAATTTCCTCTCAGATGCATGTTCTATTTAATCACGAGTCTTCCAGAATAGGAAGCGAATTTGTCTGAAGAGTAGACCTCTGGTCAACATCGAATGGACATAAGGAAGACGGGACGAGAAGACTTACCAGATTTGGGATAGGTGGCGATCAGAATGTCATCTGGCCGGGCCTCAAACGACTCCACCTGGGACCACTCTTCAACAATGCACCAGAACAAGGGGACACCATGAATGTCTACTAACTCCCTCCTTAAGACACTAGGATTCTCCATTTTTGAGATTCTAGATTTAAATGAAATGTCAAATTGTAGCAATCAAGTTTAAAAATAAACTAATACTTCAATAGCACTGTCATTACTCTAGCTATAGCAGTGGCAGAGTACAATACTGTCCTGTATAAGTCTGTGGAAAAGGAGACAGTAGCGTAAATGCTATGTCTTAAATCATTGCATGCATGCTAGTAATACATTACAATCTTTTCTCTCTCGCTCTCTCACTTTCTCTGTTTCTGAGGCATGTGATAAGGTGACTGGACTTTGGAATTAGGGAATGTTATCTTAACCACATGCTGTTAATTCATTGGCCTAGGAACTTGAGCAAGTCTTGTGACTAGAATAAATCTTTTTAAGAACACAATCAGCAGTGTGCTAATTTGGTAGTTCCTTTCCTTAAATTACAAAGCAGACTGGTAAATTATTTTCTCTAAATGATCTACAGAAGACCATAAGACCAATGGAAAAGTGAAGGTAGGGGATACCGAGTAGAGAAACAAGTTAATTCTAATATTTGAGACACATTTCTCTGAGTAACTTCCTAACACTAGTCATTTATGATCACATGGTTGCATTTTATGTTCTCAGGAAAGTTTGTTGTAGGTATGTTCATACTTGCAATATATCCCAACTCTTCCTCCCAAATGTTTTCTCCTTACTTAGCATAAGGTGACTGTTACTTTCCTTTGTCTTAAGTTCTTAAATCCTAGAGCAACGAGCTATCTAGAAAGTTTGAGTTATAAAGTCTCAAGATCCTGTTAAAATTGCTGAACTTCTCTTCAAGAATGAAAATTCAAAGTCTCTTCAAGAATAGATATAATTTGACCTGTGTCTTTTCTGCGTCAAAATTTTCCATCTTTTTTATTTTTTTTAGTTCTCCCACAACCAAACCCACCCCTAAGCTAACACTCATATAATTTTATTTAAAAGAGTCATAGTCTAAATGGATAAATCTTTGCTTCTTATAAAAATAAAATTCATTTTATAGCATAGACATTTCTTAAAAGAGATATAAATTAGTCCAATCTAGTAATATTAAAATATTATAATGTTATTTGAGAGTCCTCAGCTCCCTTTATTAAAGTTTTGACATGTAATTCACATATCATACATTTCAATAGTTCAGTTGTTCATTATTAAAAAGAATATTTTAATCATCACAAATCAATTTTAGGACATTTCTTCTTTCTTGTACTCATTGTTATTAACTCCCCATTTTCCCAACTTCCCTTGCCATGTTCCCAATAAGGGATGCTTAATAATATCCTAGAAACACCTGTGTACCACCAACCACTTATTTTATGATGGGCCTACTACTGAAGCTGTGACTAAAGTCTCCTCAGGGAATACCCTACGGTCTTAGAGGACTGGGCAGAAATCCACTATGTCAAATATGAACATTCAATTATCCAGACATAATACTAAAATGTTTACCCTATGTTAGTTTGTTGTTGTAAGTTGCTGGCCAGATAACGCTGGTCCACAGTGATCATCTATATGACAGAATGAAAAAGCACTTGTCTTATGGCATCCTTACAGTAACCAACATGTTTGAATCCATCACTGTGAGTTTTCTGCCCACCAATTTCACTGAGAGTCTTTCATAGCCTCCTCGGCCCTCTACTTCGTCAAACATGCCTTCTGCTAGCTATTGATCCTGTTGAAAGACATGTCCAAAGAATATGAACAGACAATATTCTGTTGTGATCCATAAAGTTTTCATTGGTTAATTTCCAACATAGATGACTAGACCTTGCTTCCTTTCTTCTTCGACTGCCGTAGTCTAGGAACTCCACTGAACCTGTCCACTATGAGTGCTCCTACTGGGAATGTGTAATACCAGTGGCATAGTTTCCCGTGCCATAAACAACACACAAGGCGCTCCAACACAACAGACAAATGGGTGGTGGTTTGTTACCAAATAGCTTGCCAAAGTATGCATGTTTTCCTCTCCTCTTGAGGCACTTCAGGCACACAGGTTGTGTCCTGTGTCATAGCGTTTTACCACTCACTTTTCACCACCACAATAATAGAAAGTTACGCTTTGTGTATGAATTTTTTTTCTATCATTATTTGATCCTTGGTGCATAGTGGCTGAGACATTGTGTGTTGCTGTCACCTGTTGTCAAGTTAGTCCTCAGTTCATAGTGACCTCTGAAATTGTTCCATAAGGTTTTCTTGACTGTAATTTTTTTAAAAAATCATTTTATGGGAGGCTCATACAACTCTTATCACAATCCATACATACATCAATTGTGTGAAGCACATTTGTACATTTGTTGCCCTCATCATTCTCAAAACATTTGCTTTCTGCTTGAGCCCTTGGTATCAGCTCCTCATTTCTCCCTCCCTCCCCACTCCCCACTCCCTCATGAACCCTTCATAATTTATAAATTATTATTATTTTGTCATATCTTGCAATGTCCAACATCTCCCTTCACCCACTTTTCTGTTGTCCATCCCCCAGGGAAGAGGTTATATGTAGATCCTTGTAATTGGTTCCCCCTTTCCACTCCACCCTCCCTGCACCCTCCTGGTATTGCCACTATCAGCATTGGTTCTGAAGGGATCATCCGCCCTGGATTCCCTGTGTTTCCAGTTCCTATCTGTATCAGTGTACATCCTGTGGTCTAGCCAGATTTGTGAAGTAGAATTGGGATCATGATAGTGGTGGGGGTGGGGGGGGAAGCATTTAGGAACTAAAAGACAGCTGTATGGTTCATCATTGCTGCACTGTACATTGACAGGCTCGTCTCCTCCCCGCAACCCTTCTGTAAGGGGATGTCCAGTTGCCTACAGATGGGTCTTGGGTCCCCAATCTGCACTTTCCCTCATTCACAATGATTTGATTTCTTGTTCTTTGATGCATGATACCTGATCTCTTTGACACCTCGTGATCACACAGGCTGGTGTGCCTCTTCCATGTGGGCTTTGTTGCTTCTGAGCTAGATGGCCACTTGTTTACCTTCAAACCTTTAAGACCCCAGATGCTATATCTTTTGATAGCCGGGCACCATCAGCTTTCTTCACCACTTTTTCTTATGCACCTATTTTTCTTCAGCAATTGAATCGGGAAGGTGAGTACACAATGATATGAATTTTTGTTCTTTGGTGCCTGGTAACTGATCCCTTCGGCACCTTATTGATTCAGTTCACTAGCTCTTTCTTTCATGAAACTGGTGGATTCAATACTGAGTTCAGACAGGGCACTTATTGTGAGGATGGTTTAGGACCAGGAAATATTTTGTTCTTTTGTACATAGGGTGGCTACTAGGTGAAAGTAACTCAATAGCAATTAAAAACAACAAACAATGACAGGGTCCATTTGGTTCCAAACACTATTCTAGGTTCTGGTGATAGAGTAGGGAATAGAGATGAATAAAATGATGTGGATTAACAACATCTTTTTTCAAGCCCAAAATACATTTGGCGTACTATTGCAGGGTTAATTTTCTTACAATTCTATATCATTGTTTTACTGGTTTTCCTTTAAACATATCTTCTCAAGGACATTAAGTTATCTTATGTATTAACTTAGAGGTCAAGAGGGGAATCACCTAAGTTTGACAGGTAGAAGTGTACCCAATCATTAATTTTATCTGCTTGTTTTCTTTTAAGGAAATTAAGCTTATAATTCTATTTATTTATTTATTTATTTATAGTGCAAATTAGATGGGTGTTGAATTTTGGCTCAACTTTACATTCAACAGTTTATTTTACTAGTAAGCATCTTCAGAATTTCCCCCTTTCCCTTCTCCTTGGTTACTTCTCTAAGCTATCTTCTAAAAAGTTAACGCCTATTCTCTGTGTAGCACATTACTTTCCCTTTCCCCCTTGCTCTCCCAAAGACTGTTCCCTTTGGTATGGATGCCTTTCTCTTGGTTTTCAATGTGTACTTTCACCTACAAGTGTGGATTTATATAATTCTTGTCCTTTGTGATCGGGTGATTTTACTCAGCATGATGTTCTTCAGGTCCGTCCACATCACGGGTGCTTCACGGTGCCATCATTGTTCCTTAGCAATGCATGGTATTCCGTCTTCCACTGATGGACAGTTAGGTTGTTTCCATCTTCTTGCTACTGTGAACAATGTTATATGGAATATGGGTGTACGTATGTCTGTTCATGTATGACTCTTACTTCTTTAGGTGCATACCAGCAGAAAGTTTGTTGGATTGTATGGATTTTTGAGGTCGTGCCATATAGCTTTCCACAGTGTTTGCATATATTTACTGTCCCACTACCAGTGTGTAAGACAGGGGTCCTCAAACTTTTTAAACAGGGGGCCAGTTCACTGTCCCTCAGACCATAGGAGGGCCAGACTATAGTTTACAAAAAATTATGAACAAATTCCTATGCACACTGCACCTATCTTATTTTGAAGTAAAAATACAACAGGCAAAAATGCCCTGCGGGCCCGATAAATGTCCTCAGTGGGCCGCATGTGGCCCGCAGGCTGTAGTTTGAGGACCCCTGATATAAGGGTTCCAATTTCTTTTCAGCATCTCCAAGACTTGTTATTTTTTAAAGAAGTTGGCTGTTAATGTCGGTATAAGGTGATATTTCTCATCATTGTTTTGATTTGTTTCTCCTAGATGGCTAGTTGAGATAATTAATTTTGGTCTGTAATGATCTAGGACTTTTCTGGAAAAGAAATTTGCTATAAATAACTGAGAGATCCTGTCTGAGCTCCTCAACTAGTTCTGATGCCATGAGAATTTTTTCCAAGTTTGGGATATTTGAAGTTAACCAAGTACAGTCATGTTTTTTATTTCTATAATTCTCAGTAAGCAAAACTGTGAGTTTTCCTTCAAACTAACCACATTCTTGTTATTCATTCCCATTGCATTGATGTCTTGTCTTCCTCCCTTTAGAAAAGACCACATCTTTTAACTTCGGGTCTTGGCCATGTGCCCCATTGCTTATCTCAGCTGAAATTTGGTTTCCTCTGCAGACACCACCTTTCTTACAGTCTTCAAGAAAATACACCAATTTCTTCAGATATGCAATTGCCTTTCTTTGGGCTAGAAAGAAAAATAGTCATTTGTCTGGCTTTTTATTTTTTATCACCTCCAAGCCATTACCCTTCCACCTTAATGTAAACATTTTCTCTTTCATTGTTTATGAAAAGGAGTTTTCTCCATTGTCTCTTCTAATTTCCAACATCTACCAAATACTCAAACACCTCTTGTGGGATGCAGAAACTAGTGATGCCCTA